TTGTTGTTGTTGTTGTTGTTGTTATTATTATTATTATTATTAAAATGTACATTAAAACCATGCCCCAAAATATATTATATTTGATGGCAATGTRTTTAAAGTAGTTTAAGTGCTCCATAAATAAATTAGATACATAACATTTAAAACACAAATAAGTKGCGCAGGCATTGTAACTCTGAATGTYTGCTGTAAGGCAATAACAGAACAAGAGAAACTCGTTCTCACGTCCTACATGTGCACATCTAATAGGCCAGTATAGAAACAAATRTTAGATTTGATAGGCTTTCACCTAAGTGATCCACTAATAACTTTTATCTTATGTGTTATACCTCATTTGCTATAGTTATATTTTCTATAGTTAWTTTTGCAATTTATTCAATGTGTGGGTTGTTGTAGGTTTTTTCGGGCTATATGGCCATGGTCTAGAGGCATTCTCTCATGACGTTTCGCCTGCATCTATGGCAAGCATCCTCAGAGGTAGTGAGGTGTTCAAGAATTTGCCCTCATGGATATCCCAGAAGCTACCAAACCAGATAGTTTTCAGGCTTTCTGTTCTGCTTCCTGTAATTTTCTCGGTTTTCATGTGGAAAGCATGAAATATCAAATATCAAATGCCTGTCACTGACCATTCTTAATTTCAAACCTGTGATTTCTATTAGAATTATTATAGATAGTAATCATAATTTACTTCCTCTTGATTAAGTTCCTCTCTGTGAATATGCTGAGCACCCATGATGTATTGACAGAGCTTTACTGTTATTCCCAGCAAATGGCACACTAGCAAGTGTAGATACTAAGATTGATATCATTTTTAAAGTAGGATTTTACTTTCCTCATAGGGACTTTTATTTTGTTATAGCTTTTCCAATCAGAATGCCTATTCATTGGAGAGCTGAGATTCTGTTGTTGATTTCCCAACTGATCAGCTGTAGATATGACAGGCTGGATTGTTGTGCTGTGCCTTCCTGACATACGTCACAGGCATCGGGTTTTGTTGCTCAGGGATTAGTCAGATTGCTTTTGGAGACGCCCTCAGCTGCACCTTGTGCTGCTATATTAGTGTTTACATAGCAAGAGGAATTTTTCTTTTGGCTGGAGCAGCTGCCTCAGCAAGGCCATCTGGTAAGTTGTAATAGAGCTAATGCTTGCAAGCCATGGTTGTGACCTTTGTGGTGTTTTGTATTATTTTGATGTTAGCTGCAGATTCTGTTTTAAATGCTGTTCAGTCCTTCGGGTTTTTACTGAGTGGTGGATTGTACCATATTTGGCATAGCTTATATCTTAATAGGTATGCATGGGATTGTCGACTTAGATTGCAGTCCAGTGCACACTTCTATGGAGTAAACTCCACTGAACACAATACAATTTGTATCTGAGTCCTAATGCACAAGACTGTTCTGCAAGTATTTTAAAATGTGAATTAAAAGGGGGGTATCGCTTTGTGGGTTGATCTGAGCTACCTATAACTGCTTATGCATCAAAATATATGTAGGCAATTCTGGGGTGATTCAGATAAATCTCTGTGTATAGCATATTTATACACACAACTACTTAGAATTGGATAATGTGGCAGGTCATTTCCTAAGGGGTTTGCTTGGTTTTTGTTGGCAGCCTGTATGCAAGTCCTGCATCTCTGGAGTCTGCTTGTGACCTGTGCTGTTGCAGTAGGAAAGAATCAAGAGAAGAAGAAGAAAGAGTGCCCTAAGCTCAGCGCACAGGTACTCTCTCTTTTTATATACATCTTCAAAGCACAAAGGAAAACTCTGACAACCCATTTTCAAAAATGACCATAGACTATACTTCAACCCTTTTTTCTTATTAAGTGTTGCAAATCCATAGTTCAAGATAGCTTAGTTTTGTAATATCAAAAATGTTGAGACCAAGAGACTTAAATATGGCAGTTCTTTAAGAAAAAAGCTCAAAAATACTTAGCAAATGCCTGTTTCCTTTTGAAATACCTTTTACTCTTTTCCTTCTTTAATGTGCCTAAAGCCTATACATAATTATTTTTGCATAGTTTGCATCCAATCTGTTCAGAATTCTGTTGGAATGACATTTCTGTCGATTGCATCATGCCATCAATGAAAAACAATTAAATGTTGCAGAGTGTCTGTATTCTTTGTGTGTATGTGTGTGTGTGCATCAATAATTTGCAAATAGCAAATGTTTGTGACTGCAGGCAATATAAAACAATTGATTATATTTATTTCTCATGTTAATACAGTCTAAAGCCATTTTGACACAACTGGATGTTGTCTAAAATAGATTCTGCTGTCCCAAGAGACCCAACTGAAACTTCTCAGTATTATTTGACCCCTTGCTCTTCTTTTTGTAATTTTGGATCAAAAATTATATATATGGCATAGTTAGAAGCATTGGTAACTATTAGAACTTAGCAAAGTGAAACTGTTGCAATTGGCGTGCTCAAAAATTGTAAAAGTTTCGAAATAACTGCTATCTATCTATTTATCAAATGCTGCCATTGTATTCAAAAACCTTCATGCTGCAAGCAGACATTGTAATAACATAGATCCTTTAAATCACAGAGGTTTTATGGTTTTGAACACTACATTTATTTGTGAGAAATATTTTCCATGAGTTAAATGAGAAGTGCATTTAGTAGTTTTGTTGAGCCCCTCTCCTCAAATGAAACCACCAATGCATTATGAAGGACACATCTTGAATTACATTTAGGACAGTTAAGAGCACAATCCTATTTAGTCTGAGTCCAAAGGCAGCCCAGAACTCTTCAACTACACTGAAGAATTGTAAAAAAAAATGTAACTTGTTGTTGTTGTTGTTGTTGTTGTTGTTGTTGTTGTTGTGTACTTTCAAGTCAATTCCGACCTATAGCAACCCAAAGAGAAGTCTTTTCACAAGGTTTTTCAGGGAATGTGGGTTCTTTTGTTCTCCTCTGTGATTGAGAGAGGCCCCTTCTACGCTGCCCTATATCCCAGGATCTGATCCCAGATTATAATCCTTAAACTGGATTATATGAATCTCCACTGCCAAATAATCAGAGATAAAAAAATAATCTGGGGACCCTTCCTGATAGGCCCTATATCCCAGGATCTGAACAGTTTTCTGTTTTAAACTGGATTATATGAGTTCGCACTGCCAGATAACCTGGGATAAACAGAAAACCTGTGATCAGATTCTGGAATATAGGACCTGTCTGAAAGGGCCTTGGGATCAGATCCTGAGATATAGGGGCAATATGGAAAGGGCCAGAGTGTGATTTGCCCAATATCACCCACTATATTTCCATGGCTATGTGGGGATTCAAACCCTGATCTTCAAAATTATAATCCCACACTCAAATCACTATACTATGCTGGTTCTTTATCTACATTGATTTGATGGTATGTTTATATTAACATTGTCACACATTGCAAATGCGACTAGTAATTATTACCTACCACAATGAATGCTTCCTGCATTTCCTTCAGTTTTTATGTAGTTTGTGTAGGAGATACTGTCATTCCTATCTTTCAGATAAAAATTTTTTTTTTTAAAGTTAGTAAATAGCTTTCTGAGAAGGGATTCTACCAGAAGTAGAAAGTAGATTTCATATAGAATGCAAGTCAAGTTAGTTCTTTCTTATGAGGCATTTAAAACAGTTCTTCACATGAGGAAGCATTAATAAACAGTTACGGACTTGGCAAAGCAAGTGTGAACTTTATATGTACCAGAAGTCTAATCTTACATGGCTCTCTGTTTATATTTGCTTGTCCTTCACTGAGAGTTTATTTCAGAGCATTTCGAAAACAGTGTCCTATTAGCTCAATGTCAATTCTTCCCCCTAGATAATGGTAGTTAATGTTATGCTTTTAACTAGTGCTCAACAAAATACACAGCCATTATTATTATTATTATTAGTTACCTGCCTCTTCTCATGGCTCAAGGCAGGGCACAACAAAATAAAAATACAGCTGTGAATGCAATCTGTTTAGTACAGAAAGACAATGCCCTACTGTCAGTGCTACTCTGCTGCATAAATGTGTTCCTTCAGCCTACAAATTCATGAAATACAAAGTTAAGTATGAATGTTTGCTCTGGTGAGAGGTACCTATGGACCTGTTGGGATAGAACTGGCAAGATATGTTTTTAAATATCCTCATACCATAAGGAGATAAGTATCCGTATTTTTCTAATCTCCACTTCTGATTTAGATAATCTTATGCTGACATATATGTCTTTCTAGGATGTGCTACTGATAAACTTTTTAACAGAAGTTGCCACACTGTGTTCATGCTACCTGGACAAGTAATTCAAAGGATTGCAATTACCCCAAGTCAGGCCTGTAGCCAGGATTTTGTTTCGGGGGGAGTTGAGTTTGATTCAGGGGTGGGGGTGGGCTGAGTCTGAGTGAAAGAGGATCTACCCTAGCAAACCTTTTGTATCGTTACCCCAATACCCCCATGCATATGGGATATATTGAGAAGGGTGATCAGATCATGATTTGAATAAGCATAACAGTTTAAATAATGTACCAGTAAGGCCTTCTTACGGACCACCATGAGAATTTCGGGGGGGGGGGCTGAAGCCCCCTAAGCCCCCCCGGCTACATGCCTGCCCCAAGTAAGTAATAATTACTAGAATATCATTTTTTTGTTTCCAGTTTTCACTCTATATGAAAAGTTTACATTATAGATATTGTGTGAAATTTCACACAATGTAGCCTATATTGGTCATATTTCATAGATAAGTTTATCATCAGCTAGAGTTAACAAAATTCTGAAGCTGCATTTTGAAAATTCGGCTTGGTAGCCATGCTTAGCTGAGTTTTTACTGCAGCAAAAAGATTAGGCGCGGGCACGTGGTGTGTCCCTCTCTCCCGCCTTCGCCTCACAGCTGGGTGCCCCCCTCCCTTCCGCCGCTTCTGCTGCTGCTGCGAAGCGCTGGCAGCGAAGACAGAGCAGGAGCCGCTCCAGCGCAGAACTCACTGCGAGGCGGGAGTCGGAGCGGGACTTGCCCACGCTCTGGAGCTGTCACCAGAGGGGAGGACTGAGAAGGAAGGCCACCTATCTCCTCTATCTCTGATCTACAATGAGTGCCAAATCTGCTATCAGCAAAGAAATTTTCGCTCCACATGATGAAAGGATGTTGGGAGCAGTCCAAGTAAAAAGAAGAACTAAGAAAAAGATTCCTTTTCTGGCAACTGGAGGTCAGGGTGAATATCTAACCTACATCTGCTTGTCAGTGACGAACAAGAAACCTGCACAGGCATCTATTACAAAAGTCAAACAGTTTGAAGGTTCTACATCTTTTGTACGAAGGTCACAGTGGATGCTAGAACAGCTTCGCCAAGTAAATGGTATAGACCCTCATCGAGATTCCCCAGAGTTTGATTTACTATTTGAAAATGCTTTTGACCAATGGGTAGCAAGCACAGCCTCTGAAAAATGTACATTCTTCCAAATTCTACATCACACCTGTCAGCGGTACCTTACAGACAAAACGCCAGAATTTATCAATTGCCAGTCTAAAATTATTGGAGGAAACAGCATATTACATACGGCAGCAGACAGTGTAACCAGCGCAGTACAGAAGGCAAGTCAGGCTTTGAATGAACGTGGTGAAAGGTTAGGTCGAGCAGAAGAAAAAACAGAGGATATGAAGAACAGTGCTCAGCAGTTTCCAGAAACTGCACACAAGCTTGCCATGAAGCACAAGTGCTGAAAATGCCTAATGTAGAGATATTTCCGAGAGGAACTGAAAACCTACATTAATCTGTTTTTACTGGAGATGCTTTTTCATACAGTTCATTGAAACCCAGTTAACTTTAGGTTTTTATAACATCATAGCTCTGGCTCATTCACAGATGTTTATGCAGTTTTGAATAACTTCAACCACCAGTAATAATTCTTACTTATTTTCTGCCTGCTTCTTCCATTTGCATCTTTTCTGCGGAAATCATAAAAGAGTGAAAGATAGAATAGCTGCATAGAATTTTCTTACTGCCTGTGTCATGATCCCAGGATCTTGTGGCATCTTGGACTAACATTTGGTGTAACTTTTTGTTGACCCTGATTCACTTAGTGTGTTGTGATAGATTATTTTCATAATCTCTTAATGATAGTCTAGAGAATATTTAAATCAATGTTGATTTCATTTTATATTTAAAATATCCAGTTTATCCTGCTGTTACTTTCTAATTGCTCTTCTTCTGTATATTGAAATATTCACACACATATAAATGTATCTTTGCCTACCTTATCTTTTGTAATGCATCCCACTGAATATTTGAATTTTAACTGACATGTTCTGTTAGGTTTAAGTCTTAAAATGAATGTAATGCAATATATTTCAGAAGATAGCTTTCATAGATAACTGTCTGTAATATGAAAGTGTAGTCTTCCTTCTCCTTAATCTTATAGAGCTGGATTTTGTATTGGAGTCAAGAAATGAAATAATCATCTATCTAAGGTCTTAAGTGAAGTTCATACTAGCCTACCAGTCAACAAAGTTTCCTGTTTTAATGCAGTCATTTCTTGATGCAAGTGATCAAGGAAGGGTTTGTTCTAAACTCTGTCTCTTCTATTTAACTTCTACATCCTTTTGTAGCAACTTGAAACAGTAATTTGGGAAACAGAAACACAAACGATGTTGGGGGACACAGAATGTTACTTAACATGTCCCAGCCATGTAAGCCTTCCTCTTCCTTAACCATGCTTATTCAGATCCACAGTCTCTCATTCTTCACTCAGCAAAACAGGCATTGTATCTCAGATGCTTTATTGTATTCTGAAATGCAGGCCATTTATTTGGCAAAAAAGTTGCCAAATACCATGGTTGGGGAGCTTCAGCTAACACAGAACCAGAACCAGGATATTTTCATGCTTATGTCAAGTATCTTTATGTACAATCATAATGATGTGCTGATTTAAGACTGAGCGCTAATAGGTTAATGAGTTCATTACTGTTAAAGTAAGACGTTTGGCATCCTTCCTAATGACATGTGATGTCATTTTAGTACAGTATTCCAAATGTATTCATTCTAAATGAATGTCCATTACCTAAGTGTCAGAAGATAAAATAACTGAACAGCTGCTTTGTACAATATCAACTTAATCAATGTTAAGCTAATCCTTTCCCAGGCCAACTGCCACTTTAAAAATGTTCTAGCTGTTCCTCACAGCATTTTCCATGAAGCCACGTGGATCTTGTCTATAAGCTTTGAATTCTGAATCTTCCTGCCCTCTACAGTTTGTGCCATCAGTATTGACTCTGCTTTCTTTGTTTTTTCAGGGAATTTGTATAAATTAGTTTACATATCTGTCATAATAACAATGAATAATCTCAGATAAGTGTTTATGGAGAGATGTAATAAATGAAAGAAGCACATTATAATTTTGTCTTGGCAAATGCTTTTTAATACATTTTAGGAGCATGTTCAAGAGCCATGAGAAGTCTTGGGACACTCATTTTGTAGCAGCCAACTTGATAACAGCAGAAGTGACACTGGACGTAGTAACCTCTCCAGTTGCCAGCAACATATTTATATTACAGAATAGACATTTCTGAGAATATGTAACTTGAGAAGTGCTCAGAAGTTGTGAGAAGCTTAGGTTAATATGCCTATCATTTTTAGTGTCTGAACATCCTGTGTGTTCCATTTATTCATCTGGGTCAGAATCTGATTTTTTTTAATGTGCATGTATCTTCCTTTGCTAGCTTTTCCTGCATAACAGCAACACAACATTAAAAAGGAACATTCTTCTTGTTTTATTTTTCCTAGATGCCAGAATTCCAGAAAAAAACTGTCCATATCAAGGACCCAGGGAGAGTGGAAGAAATTATCTGTGGCCTCATCAAGGGAGGAGCTACCAAACTTCAGGTGAAGCACAAAACATATTTGTAGAAATGAAATACTAATCTTAGCTTTTAATTAAGATTTAAGAAAGAATAAAAACGTTTAATAATGCTTATATTAACAATTTTTTAAAAGAGCACAAATCAATAGTGTAATTTTATCTGTTATAGTATTGGCTCTTTTGAGGAATGATGACACTGCAGTTATAGTAGCACTGTTGGAAGAGGACAAATTATAGCAGGAAGGAAAAGTTTAGAAGCTACAGAATAACCTAAACATATGGCTAATCAGCTGTGGTTAACTAAAACAAGCAAGTTCCACAAATTATGATTCAAAATTCAATAATTTTAGTAAGCTTTAGTTTATTCAAACTAAAATGCAAAACTAGGATGCAGTTAATCAAAACTGATGTGATTTTTTACACTTGGCTTTATGATCACTAGAGAAGAGGAGATCAAGGTACAGAATCAAGGCTCACTACCTGAGGATGCTTGCCATAAATGCAGGTGAAACGTCAGGAGAGAATGCCTCTAGAACATGGCCATATAGCCCGAAAAAACCTACAACAACCCAAGGCTCAGAAAGATTTATTCTCCTAGATTTAACACCAATATTGCATTAGCTTGCTTTTTAAAGTGATGGGCATAAGATATAATATTGTACTAATAACATGTTCTTCATCTTTTTGCAGATAATTACAGACTTTGATATGACGTTGAGTAGATTTTCTCACAATGGTAAACGATGTCCAACATGCCATAGTGAGTTCTGTTCACTGTCTATAAAAAAAGACCTGTTTCATCAAGATTTAGACATACAGCCCATTTACCTAGGAAAAAGCATGATTTAATCCAAAATAAACTTTTTGTTACATGTGTAGGATAGCTCTGCTAATCGTCTTACGGTGTTTTCAAATAGATAATGTTTGATCCAAGGAAGTTTTCTCTCTACTTAACAGTAATCTTTAAAATGTTTGCATTTTATTACTTCTCATATAATGTTATATTGTATCACTAAGTGCTTCCTTTGCCTTTTATTATTTAATGTGAACTTTGTTTCCATCCTAAATATCTTGGTGTCAACTTAGATTGTATACTAACATATAGAAAACACTGCATGTACACCAAGCACAAAGTAGCTGCACGCAATAACATCCTGCGGAACTTACTGGCAGCACATGGGGTGCAGATCCAGAATTAATAAGGACATCAGCCCTGCCCTTGTTACTCAGCTGCCGAGTATGCTTGCCCTGTTTGGCACAAGTCTGCCCACACGAAGCAGGTGAACATAGCATTAAAACAGGCAGAATAATCACAGGGTGTCTGAAACCTACACCTGTTAATAAACTCTACAAGCTAGCTAGTATTCCCCTCCTCCCCCCCCCCCCATGTGTGATGGGAAGTTGCTGCTAACTGTGAGAGAAATAAGGTTGAACTCTGTGAAAGCCACCCACTGCATGGCTATCAGCCTCCTCCCAGTAGACTCAAATCAAGGAAAAGCCTCATGAGAACCACAACTCCTCTTAACGTTCCCCCAGCAACAACAAGAGTATCCCTCTGGGCAGCTAAACCAGGAAATCCCAATTAGATGGCCCCCCGTGAAGGTCTGTCTCCAGAGGCAAATCAAGGATGGGCAACTTGGAAGTCCCTGAACAAACTCAGAAGTAGAGTGGGCAGATCAAAAGACAACCTGGCTACATGGCATTACCTAGAAGAATCATCCTCCTTGTGTGACTGTGGAGCCGAACAGACAACTCCACATCTCTATGCTTGTCTGCAATGACCTGCCTTATATACAGAGGAAGAATTGTTTGAGGCTACAGACAATGCAGTCGCTGTTGCCTGTTTTTGGTCAAAAGATATTTAGCTGCTTGTGCCTCTTCTATTTTTATCAATTTTATACTAAATTATCCAGTGCTTTTGATACAAAATAAATAATTTAGCTCATAGATATTACACTATGTCGCTAACTCCTCCCTTTGCATTTTATTACTTAGCTCATGTATGTTAAGTTACACTTTGTCTCTAACTGCTCTCCATTTATGAAAAAATAGTAATCCCTAGTCATTTGCAGGAGTTTCCTATTTGAAAGATTCTTATTAAATGAAGGATGCTGGGAAAATTTTATTCGGAAAAGCTCATTTAGATTCCTTTCTGAGTGCATAACTTTATATAACTCCTAGATTTTATTATTTTAATTGTTATTTTTAAATTACATTTTTAAATTACCTTTTAAACTCGGCTTACACATTTTGTGGCCTTCCGGGTATTTTGGACTTCAGCTCCAAGCTAACCATCCAACAAGCTGGCTAGGGCTTCTGTGAGTCTGAGTCCCAAATACCTGGAGGGCCGCAGCTTGTACAGGCCTGGTTTAAACAATAGTGATGTTTATGCTTTGAATAGTTTCAAACTACTATACACAATGAGCATGAATTGGAATGCTTTATTGCTTGCCTCAAACAAAGTTTCTAATAAAATTTTCTCAATATCTTTCAGATATCATTGACAACTGTAAACTCATAACAGATGAAAGTCGCAAAAAGGTAATCCTAAAACTGGAACTGAGTTGAGTGGTTAGTTTCTTTGGAATTCTGTAATCAATTGTTGTGAATGAATAATTTGCTGGAGCTCTTTTTAGAATTGTCTCAAGGTGTACCTTATAGATTTCATGGTTATTTGGATTCTTTTCTTCTTCTTTTCTTTTTCTTTTTGTATCTGCATTTCTATGAATAACCATCTATATGTACCCGATCTCATGCATCTGGAAAAGCAGACTCAAATATAGAAAAGCTTGTGCCACAATAATTTTGTTAGTCATTATGAAGTCTCAAATCATGGTTGCCATTTTCGTCACTTTTATTCTATTTATTGTTATTATCTTAACTTTTGAACTATAAAATAGAAAGTTTAAATGAAACATATTTTATGTGACAACTGTTATTTCCTGATTTTAACTTTAGCTTTAACATAGAGTAGTGGGTAAGTCAATATTCTTCTATTGCCACTTTACCAAAATTCAGGATTTGCCTATTCTGTATATTGTAAAATATTGTATTTCATCGCATAATAGTCACACTTTCCCTTTTTTTGTTAAAAAGGGGGGGGGGTGCAACGATTATGTGAAGATATTGTATTTAGCTCTGGGGCTTCTCTCAGCTGCAGGTGCACAAGTGGGGTTGACTATTATCAAGGAATCACAGAACACCAAAACCGGAACTCCAAAAAGGAGGATGCTGCTATTATGCGATGGAGACTATTATGAAATGAAATTAAATAAAATATATAGTATATAAGAATCAAGGCTGCAAATTAATTAAATCACAAAAAATGCCAAGAATTGTAATCAAGAATAACTTTTTTTCTTTTCAGTTACTCCAACTGAAAGAAATATATTATGCTATTGAAATTGATCCTAGTCTTACCATTGAAGAAAAGTATCCTTATATGGTTGAGTGGTGAGTTTATGAAAGGTGACCAGTTCACTTTCTGTAGGTTCTGCTACACGTAATATTAATTTCTCAATTGCCAAATTTCTCAGGTTTCCGAACCCCACTTTTGATTACTCCTCTGCTCAAATGCATTTTATCCTCAATGTTATGCTGGGTACAGGCAGTCCCCAAGTTACAAACAAGATAAGATCTGTAGGTTTGTTCTTAAGTTGAATTTATTTGTATGTCAGAACAGGTACATTTTAAAAGTGTAACTCCAGTCATATAGATATACCATGGTAAATCTTTCAGGGGTGACTTTACCTTCATAGAAGTGAGATCTCTCTTACTACTTGTTGTCTCACCTGTTTGTAACTATGAGTTGTTTGTAAGTCAGATGTTTGTAACTTGGGGACTGGCTATATCATAAAATAAATTCTAAGATTACATTTGATAAAAGCTTCTCATTTTTTCCCTTTTGTTGCCCACAATCATGTGGCAGGATTATGTGACTTCACTTCAAAATTAGCCTTTTACTTTCTCGATGTCAGAGTTGAAGACAATTTTAGAAACCTTTTCTAATATGATGCATGCAAGAGGGAAGGTGGTATGTTTAAAAGGGCTCTTTACCGAATGCCAGGGTCTCATTTACCTGTAATGTTAAGCCATGGTTTAACATTTGGAGAGTGATCCTCAGCAAGCCTTGGACTGATTCAAGCAAGTTTGTGAGGATACTGGAAATTTCCACATGTTTTAGACCGATTACACTTTATGTCACCCTATCGTCATTTATCTTAATTCATAAAATATATTAAAACAAGCTAGTTTCATAGTCTGGTTTAAGATTAATTTATGTCAGCCAATAATAGCTAAAATGAACCATAGTTTATCTAAGTATCGATAGCAAATTAAGTTGTGTTGAATGTAAAATGTAAACAAGTGCCTCCAAGCTCCTTCTGGCAACATTGAAGGGGTTGGAGGTGATCAAGAGCAGCTCCAAACATTTCTTCTGAGCCAACCCTTCATGATGGTTACTATCAATTCCATTTCTTTTCTTTTACACACAGGAAATACATGTTGACAAAGAAGCCAGTCTTACTTAAAACTGCCCCCCCCCCCAAAAAAAAAATGCCAACCATTACTGCAATGGGCTTTTCAATTTAAAAATATTTCTGAAAAAAAATGAAATGCACTTAAATGGCATCTTATGGTAGTGATAAATATATGTAAATTATTTGCCAGTGGAAAAGGCAAATGAAAATTAGAAACATTTTAGTAACACTTCCTTTTTAGAACTGTTGTTTTCAGTGGTCGATTATTCAAGCTGTTCTTCAGTAATTTTAGAGTAACTTTGAAAACAATGTGCACCTAGAATTTAGTTTGTTGTGCAAGGCAGTTTTTGTGTATCTGTGAAGCATTGGCTGAAAAGTTATTTGACTTCTTTGTGTTCATTTTATGTAGATATTGCATATATTTTCAGCTGTTTCTATGTTTCCATGGATATCTTCTGTTTCCAATAAGAGATAATGAATGTTAGCACAATCTATAGTCCTCTGAGCGTTTTGGACTTCAAACTCTCAGAATTCCTGACCATTGAAAAAGCTGACTAGGGCTTCTGGAAGTTGGCGTCCCAAACAACTGGAGGGCCACAGGTTGTGCACCCTAAACAAACACAAATAAGGTGTAAGCTGCTCTGTTTTCATTTTTCATTTTAGGTACAACAAATCACATGCTTTACTTATTGAACAAGGACTGCAAAGGGACAAACTTTCTGAAATTGTGAGGGAGTCCGATGTTATGCTAAAGTAAGCCTTTAATATTGTTTTCTGTAGTTTTATAAAATAAAATTCCTTTGAATTTCAGAAATAGAAAGATGCACCAAAACCATAATTCATTTATGCTAGTTTCATAAACTGTTGTTTGAAGTGAATATTTGTTCAAGTTAGACATGATAAATAATAAACACAGCTTGTCCAAATTGAGATATTATGAAAGAATGAAGGAAATCTAAATCAGAAGCAAATGCTTCCAAACACCTTACCTCTGTGCTCATTGTTGTTCTTCCCATGCTATGATTGCACAGCATCTGAATGAGGCCCTTATGGGTTAGTACTTGCATAGAAGCAGAACTATGCAGAACTGTGCTGAGTTCTTTATGTTTATTCTGCTTTTGCGCTATTTGAATGTGCATCCGGAGTTCTTGGGGTTCGATGTCATCTGTACGCAGATGACATCCAACTCTATCACTAATTTCCACCAGATGCTAAGGAGGCTGTCCAAGTCCTGAACCGCTGGCCGCTGTGACGGTCTGGATGAGGGCAAGCAAATTGAAGTTGAATCCAGACAAGACAGAGGTCCTCCTGGTCAGTCACAAGGCCGAACAGGGTATAGGGTCGCAACCTGTGCTGGACGGAGTTACACTCCCCTTGAATGCACAGGTTCACAGCTTGGGAGTTCTCCTGGATTCATCACTGAGCCTGGAATCCCAGGTTGCAGTGGTGGCCAGGGGAGCATTCGCACAATTAAAACTTGGGAAGTCAGACTTGGCCACGGTGGTCCACGCTCCTAGGATAGACTACTGCAATGCACTCTACGTGGAATTGCCTTTGAAGACTGCTCGGAAGCTTCAAATAGTCCAACGAGAGGCAGCCAGATTAATAACTGGGGTGGCATACAGGGAGCATACAACTCCCATGTTACGCCAGCTCCACTGGCTGCCAGTTTGCTACCGGGCACAATTCAAAGTGCTGGCTTTGGCCTATAAAGCCCTAAACGGCCCCGGCCCAAATTACCTGTCCGAATGCATCTCCCCCTATGAACCATCACGGAGATTAAGATCTTCTGGGGAGGCCCTGCTTTCCGTCCCGCCATTGTCACAGGCACGATTGGTGGGGACGAGAAGGCCTTCTTGGTGATTGCTCCCCGGCTATGGAACTCCCTTCCTGGTGAGATGAGGTCGGCCCCCTCCCTCCTGTCCTTTAGGATGGTAAAAACTTGGCTGTGGGACCAAGCTTTCGGGACAGGGCAATGCAGCGGCAGTAGGAAAGATGACAGAGCCAATTGGATTTGATGCGGATGGCTGGGCGGTTTTAAATGGTGTATTTTAATATTTTGATAAATGTTTTTTTAATATTTATGTATTGTATGTGAATTTGTGTCCCGGCATTGAATGTTTGCCATGTATATGCTGTGCTCCGCCCTGAGTCCCCTTCAAGGTGTGATGGGCGGAATATAAATGTTTTAAATAAATAAATAATAATAAATTTTTGGGATCGCCTTCTTTGCCCCACTTCTTTGCCCCGCATCATTAAAGCTTCACCTCTTCGCCAAAGAGGTGAAGATGTCACCTTTACTGAATCTTTCTGCCCTGTCATCAGGCCTGAAGAATAGGAAAGCTGATGTTGCATGAACAAGTTGACCTTTTCTTTTTCTATCCCCTTATCTTTATCTGAAAGGCATAGCCCTAATCCCTGCTCACCCTTGCTCTTTCTGAAGCAATTTTTTGCCTCTAATTGCATACATATTCACCAAGTTAACCTCTTGTGTCTGTAAAAATAGAAGGCAAAGGGAGATTATTAACCCACAGTAGGTTTTTCCATGGAAAATTTGAACGACATGTTTTTTTAAAAGATAACAAACCTTTGATAATGCATTTTGAGTGTTTGAACTCACAATTCCAGAGTGATGGCCTCTTATTTTTGCAGAATGATTGAATAGAAAGCAATTACTTTCCAATGTTGGCATTGAAAGAACAAACTGCTTTCAGGTTTTTTTAAAAAACACAAGAATGAAAACCTTTCTCTTTTACAGGGAAGGATATGAACATTTCTTCGATAAACTCCATAAACATAATATCCCTGTATTCATATTTTCTGCTGGAATTGGAGACGTATTAGAAGAGGTTATTCAACAAGCAGGAGTGTATCATCCAAATGTCAAAGTAGTTTCCAATTTCATGGATTTTGATGAAAATGTAAGTATAAACCTTTCAAATTCAAACCATTAATTCACTGTAACTTTATGTTATGCAAATCATTTGTTAAGGAAGACAATTCAAGCATCTTTCAACCCAGTCAGAAACAAATCATTATATGTGTTGTCGAAGGCTTTCATGGCCGGAATCACTGGGTTGCTGTGAGTTTTTCAGGCTGTATGGTCACCCTGAGTCCCCTTTCGGGAGGGAGAAGGGCAGGCATACATATAGGACATAAATTAATTAATGTTCCAGAAGCATTCTCTTCTGACATTGGCCATCTTGATTAGCACTGAATGGCCTTGCAACTTAAAAGCCTGGCTGGGTGCTGACTGGGGGAATCCTTTGTTGGGAGGTGTTAGCTGGCCCACCCAACAAAGGATTCCCCAGGCAGCAACCAGCCAGGCTTTGAAACTGCAAGGCTATTAATGCTAATCAAGGTCGTCAATTGCAATATTCACACTTGCTTCCAACAGACAAGAGTTCTTTCTCCCACCCTGGACATTCCAGTTATATAAACCCCACTTGCCTAGTTTCCAACAGACCTCGCAATCTCTGAGGATGCCTGCCATGTGGGCAAAATATCAGGAGAAAATGCTTCTGGAACATGGCCATACTGCCCAAAAAACTCACAGCAACCCAAATCATTATTTCTTATTTTTAAGTTAATATCTAAATCTGATTTCAGATTGTAAGTCAAATAAAATATTTCTGTAATGAACTAATTAATGAATGAATAATTAACAATGCATTGTTCACATGATGATAAACTGCATACAGTATTTGGAGAATTCTTGGGGGTGGGAGAGACAGAGAGAGAATTAAACTTGTAAAGCATGACCTTGGAGCTAATTTTGTCATGAATTATAGGGCGTATTAAAGGGATTTAAAGGAGAATTAATTCACGTTTATAACAAACATGACGGTGCCTTGAAGAATACAGAGTACTTCAAACAATTGAAAGACAACAGCAACATCATATTGCTTGGAGACTCCCAAGGAGATTTAACTATGGCAGATGGAGTGGCAAACGTTGAGCACATTCTTAAGATTGGTTTTCTCAATGATAAAGTAAGTATGAATCTTATTGGTCCATCACAAAAATTGACTTTAGCAAGTTTTTGGGCTCACTTGCATTTTTCAAGTTTTATGATCAGAGTCTTTTCAATTTCATCGCACATTCAAGGGCAGATGTTTTTAGCCCGGCACTGTTCTTGTGTCTTCTGAATATATATAGAATTTCTTATTTTAGTGTCTGATTGTAAAGCCATTTACTTAAGATTGCAGCCAAATATTGTTCCAGGGGTCTTGCTTTTGCTTTACTACTTTATTATACTATCTGTACCAACTAACAATGAGCAGAATTTACTGACATTATTTTCAAACATGTGAACATCATACTAGATGTTACTGGTTTCAGCTAACCATAGTTTGCAGATGGCAAGAGAAACTGTAGTTCATCAAAAAGTGAAAACTTCCAGATTCCTTTCAGACTAAGGTTTTTGGCACATATTACTAATTGTGTTTTAGCTTAGGCTGCTAAAGATGGGCAACATTTTGAGGGGCATGGTTGATAGTGTCATCTTCATTCTTCTGTTCTGAACACATCCTTTTTCCTCATTAAGTCATTTGTTTTCCCATTTCTTCACCCATCCCTTCTTTATCTGGCTCCCCAAATAGGCTCATGGAATAGGGACAAATTGCTCCTTCCTAAAGTTCATACTGAAACAGATCCAAGTTGACCGTCCCTTGCTTTACAGCAGAGTATGGATGTAGCATTATTTTAAAACTTAACTGGAACCTACATTAGGAGAGCTTTTATTAAACTGCAAAATAAGCTAATGTAGGTTGTTGTAGGTTTTTTCAGGCTATATGGCCATGTTCTAGAGGCATTCTCTCCTGACGTTTCGCCTGCATCTATGGCAATCATCCTCAGAGGTAGTGAGGTCCTCACAACCTCTAAGGATGCTTGCCATAGATGCAGGCGAAACGTCAGGAGAGAATGCCTCTAGAACATGGCCATATATCCCGAAAAAACCTACAACAACCCAGTGACCCCAGCCATGAAAGCCTTCAACAATACATTAAGCTAATGTGTTTCTCATTGCTTTGCAACCAGGATGGGCAGTTGTAGGAGGTTGGTGGACTTCTGCTTGGATGGACACACACACAATTTATGCCATGTTTTTGGAGGGTCCCCTGGGCAGTGTCCTTGCAGACAGCCAATTCTCTGCTTTATAGTATGTCTGCAAATTGTGCTGCATTCTAGTTTTGGAAGGGGGTGGGTTACACAACATTATAATGAGTGAGTGTGTTTTCTGTGCAATTTCATATAAATAGGCTGCACAGTATATATTCAAGTTAGTATTTGTTGTTATTCCACAGCTTATAATTATGAGAATGGGTTTGATTTGCTTTATATTTAAAAGACTTCCCTGTGTATTCAGATACCTTTGAACAAAAAAAGGTTACATTATTTAGTGTTAACAGATAGATTACTACTTTGAAAAATAAAAAGATTAGTAAATTGTAGCTGTTTCTAGAGGTATTAACTTTTCTGACAATTGGGTTTTGCTTTGCATTCTTATAACTAGGTTGAAGAATTGCTGGAAAAATACATGGACTCCTATGACATTGTTTTGGTGAAAGATGATTCCTTGGATGTGGCCAACTCAATCCTACAAAAGATTCTGTAACGTGCATCATTGCAATTGGCATGTTTTCATCCTCATGGAAGCAATACAACACATCAGTTTGCTTGTGCTGACTTGGAATATAACCGCTGAAACTGTTTTTCTTGCAATTTGTTTGGAAAGCATACTGTATCCATCATCATTTGGACACTCCTTGCTGCTGTTAAACACACTTCATTTTTGACTGCATCCCTTATTTTTGGTTCCAATGTTAGTAAGTCTCCAAGGATTTCATTTTTTATTCATGCTTAATAAAGGGATGTTTTTGAAATGGAGCCTGGTAGAAAAATTGTAAAAGGGTAAATTTTCAAAGAGTTAAATTTATTTATTTCAAACTGCATATTTGTGTTTTTAAAGTTGGGGTTTTTTGTATACCCTGAAAAAAATACTTTATGGTAGAGCACATATAAAAGAGCTCTCTGTTCACTCTTTTGTACTGGAAAGAGCAGTTCTATACAATAAATTCCTAAAATCCCTTTGGTCATAACTAATGACTCCTGAAGCAGTCTTCTAGAATGTTTTATGATAATAATTATACAAGGATGTGTTTGTGTCTGATTTGTTAATAATGTTTGTTTATAGAACCTTTTCCACCAAAGGGGGGAACATCAAACATACATCATCAAAGATAATAAAACATAACGCTATAAATGTACATAAAATCCCCAACATCCCACCATCCACTGCTCATCTCAACACCTCAGATACAACTCTATAGGACCTCTTCAACCTCTTAACAACAGGTGAGATTCTTCTCCAGTTGGAGATCTAAAAGATGAATGAAGGTTGAAACACCAAGATCTCAATTTTATCCATATTAATCTTGACACGGTGGTGGTCATCCAGAAAGAAACACTCAGTAACCAATCTGTTTACAGACTTAAATAGGCTCCTCAACCTCTAAGGATGCCTGCCGTATAAGTGAGCGAAACATCAGGAGAGAATGCGTCTGGAAAATGGCCATACAGCCCAGAAAACCCACAGCAAACCAATTTCTGGGTCTTCTGCATAAACGTGATTCTGAAAATTCAAATCTGAAGTTCAAAAATCCAAATCATATAATGAAAAAAGAAAAGGACTCAAAGCTGCAATTGCTTCCAAAATTTTTGAAAAAATGGGACAAATTGTTATCACAGAGGGAAGGATAGAAAATGTTCAGTCATTGTGCTAAATTAAGCACTCTCAAGCCATTTTGAGGCATCCCTACTTTTTTTTTTTTTGTACCCCGTCCCAAAGAACCCTTACCAGCAGCTGGAGGACAATTTCCCCCTGTTTTAGCCTTTCCTGTTCTAAAAAGGGTTTTTAAAGGCTTCCAATTTTAAAAGGAACTAGGTGGGAGGTATATGTCAGTATTGCTCCACGCATCTGAGGGTGTGGGGGTTGTGTTCTGAAATTCTGTTGTTTTTTTAAAAATATATATATTGGCGAGGGAAGATTTTAGACTGAATTTCTATTCTTAATGAACTGTGATCAGTTTTGAGGACTTCTGTTTGTTGATGGCCAGTAAAAGGCAAAGAAAAAAGTTCCTTCTGTGCACATGATATGATCCCACATAAGTCTGGCTCCAATTCCAGCAACATGCATGGTTCACAAGGTACTGAAACCAAGATTGTTAACATTAAACTTTTGCATGCTCTTGTTCACACATAGATGGAGGCATCTTGCACAAGGTTTCTGTCAATATTTTATTTAATAAAAATACCAGCATGTTATCACATTTGACAAATCCTTGTGGCATATTAGTATTACAAAATATGTTTTAAAAAACCAGAACTTTACTTTCTGTAAAAAAAACATTTTAAATGCTTGTCTCAAGTTTAAAGCTAGCACCATTCTAAGTTAAAGAAACTCTCACTACCCTGGAAATGAAACTGTCAATTTTCATTAGTGCCCCTGTGAGTGAGGTCATGTTCCTTTCCCATAATTTTTTGTCATTGCTTTAGAGATTAACCCATCCACAAAATGCAGGTGAGGTGTGAGATTTAACCTGAAGACCAATTATAATAAATTTCTCAACCTACTTGATGGTTACTACTCCATAAGTAGATGGATAGCCACCTGTTTCATATGCATGTTAGGTTCTATTTACACTGCCATTACAATGCAGATTGGGCTTCATTATATGAGTTTACATCAGGCAAGGCAAACTTGGAGGACCGAGTTAGTCCCTGCCTGGTCTACACTGATCTGAATTTCCCTGAAAAAACAACTTTGTTGTTCAGATACCCAATGATACATAAGATGTGTTAAAACATTTTCTATGTTTTCTATTATTCTGGTCTTCTCTATACCTTTTCAAGATCAACAGAAGGGTTTTTTCTCAATAGAAACTGACTTAGGTTTTGTGGAGGAACCTCTGGTATCCCAGAAATGTTCCCAAGGATCAAATTGCCCCAAGAAGCATTGGGAGGTGATCAATTTGACCATGGGATACATGATGGCCACAAAACAACCCAGAAGTGACTGAAGCACTTTCTGTACCCTCATCGAAAGGATGAGCACTTTTTAATATTTTATATAAAATATTTTATACTTGTTGCCAATACCAAGACAAGCATAAAGCCCTGGTACCAATACAACTTTTTATAGACTGGCGATATGCAAGTTGAGCATTGACTTTCAAAATGATTAGCAGGGGGATTTCCCTCAAACAGGATTTTTTTTTACTAAGCAAAAATAAATAATTTTTGTTAGTTGAGCAGGTTCTAGGAATCTGTCTTAAAACACTAGATTATGCACATCTGTGATACAGAAGCATGTGGTTGAAGAGTACCAACAGTGCAAGATGCAGATAATTTTTAATTGATCTTGTACCCTGGACCACAACCTTCTCCTGAAATTCTATGTTTCAAATTGTGTACTTCTAAACTTCTAAAGTCACTAAAACCAATTTGAAGGCACTTCATAATGCACAATACAGACCCCATGAAAGAAAGGTTTTCCATTATATAACTTTAACTTAACCTGGAGTTCACATAGAAACAGGTGTACTTGCCTGAAGGTATGAACACAAAATTCAAACCACTTCTGTGCTGCATACACTCTAGCAGCAGTTCGGCACTTATAAACATAAAAAAAACCTCCCCTACAGTTCATCATGCTCCTTTGGCTCCTGGTCTTTCAGTCTGAATTCTTCAGCTGTAATCTTGCCATCACCATTTCGGTCCTGATTGGTGAACATATTTTTCACGATAGTTTCGGAATCAAAGCCGGGAGCTAGCTTTCCTTTGCCAGACTTTACTTGTTCATCGATATAGGTAGTAAACTAGGATTTAAAAATTAAAGGGAGGTAAAACTCTTAGAAATGCTCACAACTGATATCTTGGGATCTCAATGTACTCTCTCACATTCATGTACAATTCTTGCAGTGGATTGGATCCAAGCTTAAAGTGTATTTGTTGAAATGAATGGGAGTGATGTCACTTATATTTAAATCTTGTCAATTTCATATGCCTGTTCTAAGCAAAACTAAAGGTCCATCTACACACTGTTGAATTAATGCAGTGCAAGACCACTGTAGTTGTCATGGCTCAATGCTATGGAACAATAGGAGTTGTAGCTTTACAAGGTCTTTAGCCTTCTCTGCCAAAGGCTGCTGCTGCCTAAACAAACTACAGGCAGTCCTCAAGTTATGAACAAGATAGGTTATGCAGGTTTGTTCTTAAGTTGAATTTGTTTGTAAGCCAGAACAGATACATTTCTTAAGTGTAACCCCAGCCCTATATAGGAGAGGGGGGAGAGAGAGAAATTTTGATAACATGGGGAAGGGTTAACACCCCTGTAGTGTTTGTTTTGCTGTCTGTGACACTTTCTGTCTCTGTAGTGATTATATTTTGAAAAATTTGGCATGTTGTAGAAACAAGGATTGGTAAGAAAGCTTCAACTTTCTAGACACCTTTGCCCCATAATAACTGTTCCAAGAGTGAATTTTCCTTCCTAGGGGTATATTTCTCTCACATCTGTTGTCTTAGCCCTGTTGTAACTGAGTTATTTGTAAGTTAGATGTTTGTAACTTGGGGACTGCCCATACTGTATTTCATTGCATAATAGTCACACTTTTTTATCCAAAGGGAGTGTGACTATTACACAAAAAATCTGCCTTTAATTCTCTAGTTGGTTTTTAAAAAATAATAAACTGCCTTACCTCCAAGACAGGAGCTGGAGGGATGATCCAGCGTCAAACAAACAGCTTCATTCATGTTTGTTTTTTTAAACATCCTTGTCTTAGAGGAAGGAAGATTCCCCCTCCCTTCCTTCTTTCTCCGAAGGCAAGACAGTTTACAAAATCTGAAACTGAACTCTTTAGAGGAGGAGAGAAGATCTGAGTTCTAGAGACCTCAATTTCAGGGTTTTTTTAAAACTGGTTTCCCTTTGGAGAAAGAAGGAAGGAAAGGAGAATCGCCCCAAAGGGCTCTGAGACTATTATGCAAGGAACATAACAATACCATTTTTGCTTCCCTCCAAATGGGGGTGCAGTTGTTATGTGGAGACTATTATGCAATGAAATATGGTACAAATCCCAGAATTCCAAAACAATGAGCCATGGCAGTTAAAGTGGTATCAAACTCAATTAATTTGACAATCTAGGCGCAGACTATGTCGAAATCCAAGATTAACTCATTAGGGCATCAAACTTCAAACAGCCTCTGCCATCTCACCATGACTCACTCAGGGTATAAGATAAAAATAGGAAAATTTGGAAATATAGTCACTTCTGTTGGACAAAAAAGTTACAAAAGGTATTTAGCAAAATCCTAATGGGCGTTAAAATTTACATCTTCCGTGAAAGCACTGGTGATTTTTCAATAATTTTCAGTGCCATTGAACATAATTTAAAGCAGACACTCTCTATGGCTTGATTGTGCAGATTTGTTGAACCAGATCTGGAAGCATGTGCAGATCTCTGCATCTATGTAGAATGTCCAACTATGTTGGTTCCATTTTTCAGAAATCCTTCTCTTTCACAATGTCAACCCAAACAGAAATCCTTTGCTGAAAGCAGAAGCAAGCCAAATTAATTCCAGCATCATCTCTTGTTGACTGGGATTGATGGGAATAATATCTCATTAACATCTAGGAGGCCACAGGTTCCCTCACCCTGGCTTAATTCAAGACATAATTTCTTCCATTCATCGTATTGCTGCCAGCTATCAAAAAACATATTTGCAAAGCAATTTTAAAAGCCCAAATCTTACCTCTTCAAGAAGAACTTCTCCATTGTGATCCTTATCTATTTCTTCAAAGAGTTTGGGAGAGACCTCATCATGCCATACAAACATGTAACCTTCTGGTAATCCTGATACCAAATCGTGCAGTTCAATGTCAAAAACTAATACGGCACTACCAGGGACTTCTCCTTCTGTTTAAAAAAAGTAACATTGTTTTATTGGAACCAATTTAGCTATTGAGAGCATGGAGATGTGGCACAATCTAATTCATACACTACAAGCAAAGGCAAGTTATCTAGCTGCTACTAGATATTATTTCATCCATACAATTAATTACCTACAGAGATAAAAAAGTTGGATCTTTTCCCTATTTTCCCAGCATGCTTCAGGTTTTAATTTTAAGCAATTTTTAAAAACAAATTGCAGTATATAGTATTACAATTAAAATCCAACATTGTGCCCAAGGACCAATTAATATATTTGAACAATAAAGATAAGATGCATCACAGGAGTTAACTATTGTAACCCAATTTGGAAGATTGCAAACCATGTTCGTGCATCAGTTTCCACTGGCCTCTTAAGTTTCAATACAATAAACAATTGAAGCTATGCAAAACATTACATACTTACCAACTCCAGCTTCTCCATAACCAAGATGGGGAGGAATAATAACTGTCCTTTTCTCTCCAACACACATATCTCTGAGACCCATATCCATGCCCAATACAACTTGCCCAGAACCTAGAACTATATTATAAGTTTTCCCAAGGCTAACCCTGAAAAAAAGAACATAATGGTTTTCAAACTGAAATATGCTGGCAACAGAATTGGAATGCCACTTTCTGGCATTCTGGCATTTTCCCACGTGATTATTTTTGTGTGATAATCTGCATCCACTAATATCTAGAGTGGGGCTTCTTAAAAGTTTTCCTCTTGCGACACCACTTTTATGGAAACATTTCACATGGCCCCGGGTAATAAGTCTATAAAATAGTCATACGAATAAAGCATTTACTGACAATAAAGAATACAGAAATTTATTTAAACCCGTTCTTTGCTAAACCGAATGTTACCATTTATTAAAGATGAAAAACAGTTTCCATACTAATGAGGTGGCTATGCTTTATATTTTTATATAAAGAATTAAATATTGGGTGACTATTTGATACTACAAGGCATAGAACACCTTTGATGTTTTTCATGCCATGTTGGCATTCTTGCTGGCAGGTTCAAGTGGCAAAATATACTTTGTTGGCTCTCAATTTTTCCACTGAATTAATGAACCACAATGAGGGCTGGGCTTTAGTACAGCAGGTTAACTGCCAGCTGCAGTAATAAATCTTGCCAATCGAGAGGTTGACAGTTTGAAGCCCAGGTCAGGGTGAGCTCCTGACCTTCAGCCCAGCTTCTCCCTACCTAACAGATCAAAAACAGCAATTGTGAGTAGATAAATTGGTACCACTTTAAACAGGGAGGTATTTAAAGGCACCCACAAGGAAATGCCAGAAAACTACCGGTGATCCAATCAAGGAGGAAGTTTACAAACAAAAGCTTTTTGGCAGGAGATGGAATGACAGCACCTTCCCGTGGCCAGAACCAAGCAGCCTCCAAGATGTCGACGATGGGAATGCCTATATTGATATGTCTAGCTAGGAACCTTGCCTGTCTTGTCACTGTATAACAGCATTGAATGTTTGCTGTATATGTATTCTGTGATCCGCTCTGACTCCCCTTTGGCAGAATATAAATACTACAAATATATAAATTCTGGGGTCCATGCCTCCAACTTAAAAAGTCTCAGGTTGTAGAGCAGGCCATGGGCCTGAAATGGAGCCATACTCAACCCCTTCTTGCTCCTATCAGAGTCTCATAGACTCTTATTGCTGGAAGACACCGCAAAGGCTATCCAATCCAGCCCCATTTTTGCTATGCTAACTAGTCAAAGCCTAACTGACAGTTGGCCACCCAGCCTCTGCCTAAACAGTTCCAGAGGAGATACCCAAGGACACACATACTACTTCAAATCTTGTTGCTGCCTCCTGCAGAATCCTGGGGTCTGTAATTTAGGGAGGGGCTTTTATACAGTTTGGAGAGATCCTGTGCCTCACTAAATGACAAAACCTAAAATTCTTCAGCAGGCAGCCATAGAATTAAAAATGGTGTGCACACTCTATACCTAATCCTTTATAGAAGTAAAAGCAGGGTGGCAAGGGATATGAGGCACCCATAACAACCCCCCAAATTTAGTTAGGGGACCCCAAATGCGGTCAGGACCCCAGGTTTAAGAAGCTCTGAACTCAAGGGACATCATTCCTGGTCTAGTTTATTCCTTCCTAACTCCACTACCTTTCCCTCTAACATGCTTTAATGAAATACACATATTATATAAAATTAAGCAGCAAAAACTCATTTATCTTTATTATTCTCCAAGCCTGAATACTCTAAAATTATATAATAAATGAGATACTTACGTTGAGTCTAACAAAGTACCATCTAGGAGCGAGGCGTTATAGTGATACTTCAAGTAGTCACCATTTTTGCTCAAAACTGAGCAGTTACTGGGTTTGTAATGGGTGGTAATAGCAACAGAATCTGAAGGGTTGTGGAAGTCTATTATATGGATGTTAAAGACCAGCACAGCAGATCCTGGAATGTTCCCTGTAATGACAAGGCATAACATGAACAGAAAGCTTCCATTTTGCTCCTAGAGAAGTATTAAAACAAAGCATATTTCAAAAAAGTATCAATAAATAAGATATGTGTAGAAAATGTAGGAGTGAAGCTGATACTATAGTTCTATGTAAAACTATGCTACTCAGCCCATATTGATCTCCCCAATGTTTGATTGATTACTTCGACTATCAGCAATATCTATCAAACCTGATATTTGGGGGGGGGGGGGACTGTGGTCAAACTTGGCCACGGTAGTCCATACTCTTGTTACATCCCGAATAGATTACTGAAACATGCTCTATCTGGAGTTGCCTTTGAAGACTGTTCAGAAGCTTCAAGTGGTCCAATGGAGCAGTGTACAGGGAGCACACAACCCCACTGTTATGCTAGCTCCAGTAGCTGCCAGTCTGCTTCCGAGCACAATTCAAAGTGCTGGCTTTAGCCTATAAAGCCCTAAACTGTTCTAGCCCAGCTTGTACCTGTCCGAACATATCTCCCTTTATGATCCACCTCAGAGGCTAAGATCACTGGGAGAGGTCCCACCCTACTCGTAAGCACGACTGATGGGGATAAGAGACAGGCCCTTCTCAGTGTTGATCCCTTGGCTGTGGAACTCCCTCCCCAGCCCCTCTCTCCTGACCTTCAGGAAAAAACTAAAAACATGGCTTTGGGACCAAGCTTTTGGTCAGTGAATTGAAGCAGTGCAATATGAGATTACAAAATAACATGACAACTTGGATTAGTCCTGGAATATGACTTGGATTGTGTGATTTTAATTGATATTTTAATATTTATGGTTTGAATTTTAATCCATTTATTTATCAATATGTATATGTATATGTGGCATCAAAACGTTGCCTTTGTAAGGCCGCTCTGAGTCCCCTTTGGAGTGAGAAGGGTGGGTACAAGTGTGGTAAATAAATAAATGCTTGGACAGCAGTACTCAGAAAGAATGTGCTAAATACAAATCTATATTCACCTCTTCCCTCTTCTCCATACCCAAGATGAGGTGGGATTGTTATTTTCCTCTTCTCTCCAATGCATACACCAAGCAAGCCTTCATCCATCCCAGCAATCACATAACCTTTCCCAATGTATGTATCATATGTTCGGTTCCGAGAGTAACTACAGAAAACATTTTGCTTTATTGAGGCCACAATCAGCAACAAGACATTGAAAGCTAACTTAACACTATATCAAATATATAATCTGCACATTGCTCTCTATGACATTCTTAATAACAATTTTCACTATATCTTTAGTTTTTCTCTCCTGTTTTCCAATAACAAGAAGGGCGAAGGTATAATGGAGCAACTGATACAAAAAGTGATCCAGTAATACCAGAAGCAAAAACACAAAACAGGAAACAAAAACATCACAGAAAGAATGATCTAGAAAGGACTAAAGAGTAACTAACTATGCTAAAGATGAGTTAAACTTTTTTTTTACAGTAAGACTGTACAAATCTGCTGTCAACAGCTGGGGAATATGTGTAGAAAATGTAGGAGTGAAAAAGTATGGGACTAATGTCCCATACTTAAGAAAAGAATGTAGTTTCCATTTTCAGAAATACTTGATCTGAGGAAGAAAGGCCTGTTCATACATGTGCTGAGGCTAGGAATGTATGGAGATAATGCAGGTCTTTTCCCCCATGACACAAACATCTAACTGGAATATTTGTGAGAAACTAATCATAAATATAATACAACTGCTACTTAAATGAGCATTCAACAGGAATGAGAAAAGTGAGGCCTCTGATCCCTTCCGTGCCTTCCCCTGAAGCCTTCCAGTTCCCAATTTTAAATTATTTTCCTGATGTGATTTGGGTGCAATTTTCTCCAAACATCAGGGAAATAATTTAATTCTAATCACTACGATGTGTTAAAATACTTCTCTTGCTAGCAGCATATTCATAAGTTCATGTCACTGTAATAAGTTAAGTATGTATATACAATTCAGAGAGGCAACCTATTCTAATTTAGCATAATTGACATGCTATGTGTAAAACAGTATAAATGCATAAAACATGGTGCTTTTTTACTACAAATTAGATTGCAGTACTATATCACTATCTCTTAACTTGGCAATATAAAACACAAAAATTTGCAGACTAAAATTGCTCTAAAACAGGCATCAGCAAACTTCGGCCCTCTAGGTGTTTTGGACTTCAACTCCCACAACCGGCTGTTAGGAATTGTGGGGGCTGAAGTCCAAAACACCTGGAGGGCCAAAGTTTGCCCATGCCTTCTCTAAAAGACTATCTAAATGCTTGTAATTTTTCATATGCTTGAATATTTTACATTGTTGTCGGTTAGCTATTTTTAAAAAAAATGCACAATACCATTTTCTGTACTGTTATTTTAATCTCTTGTCGCAAAGGCAAGTCAAAATAAGGAAGTTCAAGATGTTTCCTATCAAATGTAAGTGCACTGAATTAATTATCCAATTTCAGAAATGTTGTTTCTAAGTTTCCTTTCTTTTACATAAAGATTTTTCAAGATAGCTGCCAAAAAGCAACCAAAGATTGCCAAGAGCAGATGGAGGAACTACTTGTTGAATTATCTGGTTACCTGGAATCAAACAATGTGCCATCCAGCAGTGTGCCATTATAATGGTATCTTAGGAAGTCCCCAACTTGGCTTTGGCGCTCACAAGATTCAGGCACATATTGTTTTTCCACAGTGATAGTGTCTTTGGGGTTGTGAAGGTCCAGCAGAACCACATCAAAGACAAGAGAAGCTTGTCCAGGGATTTCTTTGCCTGTGTGCAAAGTGGGAAGCAGTGTACTTATTTAGAAATTCTGCTAACATGACACATATGTGCCCACATATCAATTTCATACAAATATAAAAGTTTTTATTTTCCCCCCAAAGCCGTATCTAAAGCAACATTTATTAATTAATGTGAGAACCACCATCTCCTACTATAATCTAGATTCTAGAATAAGTTACTATTATCTGCAGCCCAAGCTTACATATGCATGTTCACTCTGGGATGTCATTCCAGGGAAGTGAACGAAGAACTATATCCCAAGTCCTTCCTCTGTAAGTACAATCATTATGCTTGGTTTTCTTGCAACTGCCAAATTATTCCTAATTGCTTGTCCAAATCATCATTTAGATGCTCTCATTGATTTGACTGGTCTACCAGTTAAGATTAGTGCCGGATGTGAATTTATGGTTCTAATCGATCCCACAAATCCTATCAACAATTGTGGTTTAAGGAAAAAGTGTAGAAAATGTTAAATGATATTCTTTTGTTAACAAATGGTAATTCTAATAATTTAGCTGGAAAAGTATTAAGAAAGTAAGAAGCAACACTTCTACAATCAAACATTATGATTAACGAATGAGCAGTTGCTTCCTATAAAAACACTCCAGATTCACATTTTTTCAAATTATTTCCTGTCAGTTTATATATTATGATAACTTTCTCAGTGATTATGGGTCTAAACAACATTGGCTTTACCATCTCCATCTTCTCCGTATGCCAGAAATGGTGGCACTGTGATTATGCGCTTTTCTCCTACACACATTCCAAGGAGACCTTTGTCCATACCAGGGATGAGCCAGCCGATTCCCACATAGGTGTCATATGTTCTCATCCTGTTGTGACTGAACATATAAACAAGTACAAGTTACTTATAGTGGTCAGCTTCATTCTACCAACATCTGAATGAGATCTTGGAAGATTTGAGTAAAGTAAGATCAATCTATTATATAGATTTGCATATAACAAAGTTTCATATTAATAAAACCATAGCAAAAGTCAAGGCAATAGCACTAATTTTGGAAGGAATTCACATTCTGCCTTTAAAGCATTTGTTGCTAGAGCAACATATGAAACTCATTTTTATACTGCATTGGACTATTTGATATATTAACTCAGAATGATGCATTCTGACAGGCAGTGGCTCTTTTGGGTCTTGCTCACAAATTGTTATCAATCCTATTGGGTCACAAAAAAGCCTTGAGTCTGCCTTAATGGTCAGTGCAGGGGGGTTCATATGTTTTACTGCTCTTGATTTTCTAGTCCTCACATGGTCAAAGTGAGCAATGGCATGTGCCTTCATGTATCACTGTTTTATGGATTTTGTATTTTGTAGTATTTTGCTGCAAGGCTATCCTCAAAAATGTTTCCTAAAGGTGTGTGTATGCACCTTTCCATAAAAATAAATAAAAATGTTCTGTTAACTTTACCTTGAATCAAATAGTGTTCCATCAAGAAATGTCCCATTGTAGTGGTACCTTACAAAATCAGACACCTGGATTGTCCTTGTACAATTTTCTGGCGTATAGTAAGTTTGAATCTGAACTTGATCTTCAGAATTCCAAATGTCAACCATAAGAACATCAAAATGAAGTATTGAATTTGGAGGAACTACACCAGCTGTGGATGTAAAATATATTATTTAAAATATACGAACAAAAGACAAAATTCAATGTCCTCACCAAGCACTAGTCCTTGCTTTTCTAAACTTATCTAGAAATCTCATATTCACAACAGAAATATCAAGGCTTTTTTCAACCATGTTCATTTACTTATTAAATTTACCTCCTACTTTTCTGCTAAAAATAGTACTCAATATGGTTATCAATAACATGCAGACAAAGGAGCAATGGTGTATTTAAAACTTTACAGATTAAATCCAATATATGGCTGTAGCTGCAGAAGCAGAACAATGGAACCTCTCTTCCTTTGCTCCCCTTTGCTAACATGCAACTTTCTTTCTTTAACTAAACATGTCGAGCAGAAGGGAGCAGGATCACACCCAAAGGTCCTACTACCTATGTTGCTCGGAAGTCCATACTTTATAATAAACATGTGGAAGCAGCAGCTCCATCACTCTGATTCAACTTCCTAACTTATCTATGCCTTCAGATCAACTGATACATACAAGGCCAGCTGTAGTAGAAAGCGTGGGTACATAGGGACAGATAATGTGTCACTCCTGCTACACTCAGAAGAGCCTGTTTCGCTTTGGAGGGCAGCTGCTACAGAAAACTCTTCGGTGCTATTTTTAGATGGTTCGCAGTACTGGATCCTCAAAGTCAAGACAATACAGGAAGGGTGAGTTGGAAAATAGTATATGTTGTGGTGTAAGCATTTATCTTATTTCTTCCTCACACACTGCCTTGATTCTTATGACCTCTCGGAGCCAAACACAGTTGTCTCTAGAGTCATTCTCTAGCCACCACAGTATATGATAGCATGTCGAGGATGCTGGTACCAGTTTCATCCCCATCATTTCCACCATCCTTTCACTGAAGTTGAAGTTATTCAATCAGCCTTGATTCATAACATCTAGATTCATGCTTTATAAACAGGATATGATACTTACCAACCCCTTCGCTTCCATATCCAAGATGGGGTGGAATTTTTACAAAACGCCTCTCATTTACACACATGCCAATCAGAGCTTTGTCCATTCCAGGAATAAGTTGACCTTTACCCAAAACCACGTTGAATGTGAAGCCTCTATCATAGCTAGAAAGAAATGTAAAAAGGTCACTTACATATTTATGTGTAACTTATTTAACATATTGTTTACATTATTTTTCTTTTCTCCATTTACAGTGGCTAAGAGCTATGGATGGCCAATCCTCCATTAATGTATCTAATTGAGAGGTTCTGAAAATGTGACCCACAATTTACTGATGATCTACAAGCTCCATTCTACCAATTTGCAAAAAGGTTGCGGAACATCAAAAACACCCACACTTTGCCCTGCAGTTTTGTTTTGTGATGAAAAGGATTAAAAAGGATCAGGGCTGGATTAATAGACTAGATCACTGTTTAAGCGTAACTGATTAAGGGTAACATCCTGATTCACCTGTGCAACTTTGGTAATGATGTTTGCTGAGCATGTAGAGATTTTGTTTCTCTTTGATGCTTCAGCAGACAATGATGCAAGCAGACTTCTTTTAAAGATCTTCATGTATTTAACGATACTGGCACATTTCTTGTCAAGGGTTAAAAACTTCAGTAATGTTTGAGAGTTTGTATCTTGAACTTATAATATTTAACAGTTTCTTCATAAACTATGTTTCTTTATACAGCTCTCTTTAATAAGAGTTTACTTTCAAATAAAAACTCAAGCTTCAACAGTGTCTAACTTCCTAACATGAGCTTCTGCACTCTGACAGACTTCTATACTCAAGCTCATTCAAGGCACAACACACTTCTCCAAGTCATTCCTCAACCGACATTCCCGAACTGTCATCCTGTTTAAACTTGAACATTCTAAACTGTCATGGAGTCAGTCACGTGACCTGCAGCCCCTCCCACTGCTTTAGGTATACAGAGATAAGGAAACTGCAAGTCAAAGTAAGACATATGCTTCATGTTATAAAATGACACATTATAAAAACACACCAACATCACATAGAGAAGGCTTGAGAAGATTGCTTCCTCCAACAGTCTACTTGCTTCTGGGCCCAATTCAAAGTGCACGTCATTACTTATAAAGCCCTATATGGTTCAGGTCCTACCTATTTTTGCAACCGCATCTCCCTTTATTACACCACCGGAGAAATTACACTGTTTAGCTAGTATTGCACCACCTGATATCCACCAGGAAGTAGCAGCCAATAGTGAAAGGACCAAGGCTGTGATCCCTCCAGCTCATCCCCTGTTTGGGTATCAGCCAGCACATCAACGATTTAAATCAAGAAATAGTTTTCTAAGATCTACAGAGACACTCGCTGGAACTCCTCAGCAAGCGAGAGTCCGAAAGTGGCAGGCTCAAACCCAGAACCTCAATCAATGGCTGATACCAAATGAGAAACTCCCCCCTGGGCACACAGAAGACTGGGCGACTTGGAAGGCACTGAACAGACTGTGCTCTGGCACCATGAGATGCAGAGCCAACCTTCAGAAATGGGGCTACAAAGTAGAATCCACTGACCACCTGCTGCAATGCAAGCTGAGCCCTGCCATGGAGGACCTTCTTGCAGCAACACCAGAGGCACTCCAAGTGGCCAGCTACTGGTCAAAGGACATTTAATCAACTACCAAGCTTGCAAACTTTGTGCTTTGTTTGTTTCTAAAAAATGCAATACAACTGTCTGGTTTGCTCCTGACATGATAACTAAATAAAATCTCCCTTTATGAACCCGGGTGGGGGGAGGCCCTCCTCTCAATCCTGCCCCAATCGCAAGCCAGGCTTGTGGAGGCAAGCAAGAAGGCCTTCTCAAGAGTGGCTCCCTGGCTCTGGAGCGCCCTCCCAAGGGAGATCACACAAGCGATTTTTAAGGAGTTGAAAACCTAGCTATTAAAACGGGTCTTTGAAAATGATTTCTAATATTCCCCTCAATGTGGACGAAGTCTTTGGTTTATGGCTACACTCAGATATTTGATGTTTGATGTTTTGTCTTATGTCTGTTATAACAGGCTGTGCATTTTATATAATTTTAGTTTGTTAAGTTATAATTTGTATTTATATGTTGGGTTTTATAAATTTGTTAGTGTGGATGTATTGTTGTATTCAGGCATTGAATGTTTGCCTTTTATGTTTAGAATCTGCCCTAAATCCCTTTGGGGAGATAGAGCGGAATATAAATAAGGATTATTATTATTATTACGGCTTTCATTTTATTTTGTTTTTCATTTATTAACTTGTCGTTCATTTTGTATAGTTTATATATTCGATTTACTTATTCTGTGAGCCGCCCAGAGTCCTTTCGGGGAGATTGGGGGGGGGGGGGGGGGGGGGGGGGAGGAGAGAGAATAGAAATAAAGATGATTCAAACTAAAGTTTGTAAGATCTCTTTGTCTGAGATCTCTGTGCTCGTGCAGCTTTTCAAAGAAACTTTTTTTTTGTTGTGTAAGGAGTGACTCCTGGTGTGAGAGAATTGGCCGTCTGCAAGGACGTTGCCCAAGGGATGCTTGGATGATTTTTGATGTTTTTATCATCCTTGTGGGAGGCTTCTCTCATGTCCCCGCATGAGGAGCTGGAGCTGATAGAGGGAGCTCATCCGCCTCTCCCCGGATTCGAACCTGTGACCTGTCGGTCTTCAGTCCTGCCGGCACAGAGGTTTAACCCACTGCGCCACCTGGGGCTCCTTTCAAAGAAATTTAAAAGAAACTAGCCGTCCCCTGCCACGCATTGCTGTGGCCCAATCTGTGGAACTGGAAAATAAAGTAATGAGAAAGTGTTGGTTTCTAATATGTGTCATTTCTTTATGCTTGTGGGTAAACAGTATTTCTTGCTGTTTCTTTGTCAGTGTTGATGTGGGAAGTGTCTAGTTTGCCCACCCTGGAACATGCAACATATCATTGTCCTTCTTTAAGGGCCCCTTTCAAATCTATGATACGATATCTCTCTGTGTGTGAATCATATCTATCTATCTATCTGTCTCTAGGGTGGATGGCTCTTTGTCAGGAGGACTTTGATTACGTTTTCTTTCCCTGATGAAGGGAGTTGCATTGGATGGCCTTAAGTATTTTCTATTGGACATGGGGGTTCTGAGTGGGAAGTTTGCCCTGATTCTGTCGTTCGTGGGGTTCAGAATGCTTGATTGTAGGTGAACTGTGAATCCCAGTGGCTACAGTTCCAAATGTCAAGGTCTATTTCCCCCAAACTCCACCAGAGTTCACATTTGGGCATATTGAGTATTTGTGCCAAGTTTGGTCCAGATCCATCATTGTTTAAGTCCACAGTGCTCTCTGGATGTAGGTGGACTACAACTCCAAAACTCAAGGTCAAAGCCCACCAAAGCCTTTCTAGTATTTTCTGTTGGTCATGGGAGTTCTGTGTGCTGAGATTGGTTCAATTCCATTGTTGGTGGAGTTTAGAATGCTCTTTGACTGTAGGTTAACTATAAATCCCAGCAACTACAACTCCCAAATCAATTTTTTTGAGTGATGGTCACTCCTTGGGTTAGGAGTTTTGTGTGCCAAGTTTAGTTCAATTCCATCTCTGGTGGAGTTCAGATTGTAGGTGAACTATAAATCCCAAGAACTCAAACTCCCAAATGACAAAATCAATCAATCCCCACCACTATTCAAATTTGGGCATATTGGGTATTTGTACCAAATTTGGTCCAGTGAATGAAAATACATCCTGCTATCAGATATTTACATTATGATTCATAACAATAGCAAAATTACAGTTAGAAGTAGCAAAATAATGTTATTGTTGGGGTTCCACAACATGAGGAACTGTATTAAGGGGGTCCATTGAAGGTTGAGACTTCCAACCTGTGTAGCTGGTCAGCGTGGTGCCTCCTCTCCCCTGATGTTCCTTCCCTTGGAGGCTTTAGCAGGCTGGATGTGCCAGTCCTGTTTGGGATGTTTTGATATGATATTTTCCTTTTTCTTGCAGGGGATTGGCTTGTGGTACCCCTCTTATTCTATTTGACGGGCAAACTTCCCTCCCTCCAGGTGTTTTGGACTCTCCACAATTCCTAACAGCCTCAGGCCCCTTCCTTTTTCCCCTCAGCCGCTTAAGCGGCTGAGGGGAAGGCCGAAGTTGGGCTAGGAATTGTGGGAGTTGAAGTCCAAAACACCTGGAGGGAGGGCCCAAGTTTGCCCATTCCTCTTCTAGGTAAAGAGTACCAGATAATCCAGGGAGGAAACAAGCCTGGGCCACAGGCTCCCCCTTCCTTTCCCCGGAGGAGAAGGGCTACCTGGAGTCGAACTGGGCCCCGTCGGGGAAGGCGCCGAGGTAGTGGTAGCGCACGAAGTCTCCTGCGCGGGCGCTGCGCGGGCACTGAGGGGGCGCCTCGCTCCGCTCCACCCGCACGTCCTGCCCGTCCCAGGCCTCCTCCTCCTCCGGCACTGGCGGGGCCTGGCAGGCCACGCAGCTCACCAGCAGCGCCAGCAAGAGCGGGGAGTGGGGGCGGCCGGACGGCATGGCGGGCCGAGAGAGAGAGGAAGAGAGACCAACGCCGGCCCCCCGCTTCCCTCAGAGGCGAGGCTTCTCCCGCAGGGCTGGATAGGCCGGCCTCTCTGCGCGTGCCTATGCAACAATTCAAAGTCCCGCCCGAAGGAGAAGCCAGTCCAATCTCAACGCGAAGTCTCCAAAGCCAATGACGAAGCCCCGCCCCCTCCTCCCCCTCTTCGGGTGGCGACGTGGCGCCCACCCCTCCTCCGCGTCCATTCAGGCCTCTTCCTCCGAAGCTCAGCCCGAGGGGAGGGGGGAAGGAGAAGCCAGTCCAATCTCAACGCGAAGTCTCCAAAGCCAATGACGAAGCCCCGCCCCCTCCTCCCCCTCTTCGGGTGGCGACGTGGCGCCCACCCCTCCTCCGCGTCCATTCAGGCCTCTTCCTCCGAAGCTCAGCCCGAGGGGAGGGGGGAGGGGGAGGAGAGGAGGGGGAGCGCGCGCGCCACATTGCAACCAGCTCTTCACAGGAACGTCCACGCGCCCCTTTTGTTTTGGTTTGTTTTGCTGTGAAATGTTATAATAAGTTTTTTTGGGTTTTTTTCTTTATTTTTTGTTAATTATTTATTAATTATTTGACAAAATCTCTCATAGAATCAGAAAATATATATTCAGAAATAATGAAACATGTCTAGATCTGTATGCAGATGTCAACTTGTACAAAATAAGTTTTTTTGTCGTGTCAGGAGCGACTTGAGAAACTGCAAGTCGCTTCCGGTGTGAGACAATTGGCCGTCTGCAAGGACGTTACCCAGGGGATGCCCAGATGATTTGATGTTTTTATCATCCTTGTGGGAGGCTTCTCTCACGTCCCCGCATGAGGAGCTGGAGCTGATAGAGGGACCCCTCTCCTCATATTTGAACCTGCAACCTGTTGGTCTTCAGCCCTGCCGACACAGGGGTTTAACCCACTGCGCCACCGGGGACTCCTATTTGCTTTGGGTGATAGTATGATAGACCGGTTCAAGATTGAGAAAGGCGTACGACAAGGTTGTATCCTCTCACCCAACTTATTCAACTTGTATGCAGAACACATCATGCGATGTGCAGGGCTTGACGAATGCAAGGCTGGGGTTAAAATTGCTGGAAGAAATATTAACAACCTTAGATATGTATGCAGATGATACCACCTTGATGGCCAAAAGTGAGGAGGAGTTGAGGAGTCTTCTAATCAAAGTGAAAGAAGAAAGTGCAAAAGCTGGGTTGCAGTTAAACATAAAAAATACCAAGATTATTACAACCAGACTGATTGATAACTGGCAAATAGAAGGAGAAATAAAGGGCTGGTCCATGAGGTCACAAAGAGTTGGAAACGACTGAACGAATGAACAACAAAAGAGGGAGAAAACATGGAGGCCGTGACAGACTTTTTATTTCTAGGTGCAAAGATTACTGCAGATGCAGACTGCGGCCAGGAAATCAGGAGACGCTTACTTCTTGGGAGGAAAGTAATGGCCAATCTCAATAAAATAGTGAAGAGTAGAGACATCACACTGGCAACGAAGATCCGCATAGTAAAAAAATTGTATTCCCCGTAGTCACCTATGGATGTGAGAGCTGGACCATAGGGAAGGCTGAGTGAAGGAAGATAGATGCTTTTGAACTGTGGTGCTGGAGGAAAGTTCTGAGAGTGCCTTGGACCGTGAGAAGATCCAACCAGTCCATCCTCCAGGAAATAAAGCCCGACTGCTCATTGGAGGGAAGGATATTAGAGGCCTAGATGAAGTACTTTGGCCACATCATGAGAAGACAGGAAAGCTTAGAGAAGAGAATTATGCTTGGGGAAATGGAAGGAAAAAGGATGAGGGGCAAGATGGAGGGATGGTATCCTTGAAGTGACTGGCTTGACCTTGAAGGAGCTGGGGTGGCAACGGCTGACAGGGAGCTCTGGAGTGGGATGGTCCATGAGGTCACAAAGAGTCGGAAGCGACTGAATGAACAACAAAAAGAGTTCATTAATGGTAAAACCCTAAACCTTACCCTTAACCCTAATCCTAACCCTAAACCAGGGGTCCTCAAACTTTTTAAACAGAGGGCCAGGTCACAGTCTCGCAAACTGCTGGAGGGCCAGATTATAATTTGAAAAAAAAAAAAAGAATTCCTATGCACACTGCAAACATCTTATTTGTATTGCAAAAAGCACTTCAAAACAATACAGTAATTAAAATGAAGAACAACTTAAACAAATATAAACTTATGAGTATTTCAATGGGAAGTGTGGGCCTGTTTTTGGCTGATGAGATAGGATTGTTGTTGTGTGCTTTCAAGTAGTCTCAGACTTATGTTGACCCTGAGCGAGGGCCGGGTAAATGACCTTGGAGGGCTGTATCCGGCCCCCGGGCCTTAGTTTGAGGACCCCTGCCCTAAACCTTATCCTAAACCTAACCCCTAACCCTAATCCTGTTACCCTAAACCTTATCCTAACCCTCCCCTCCTTTCTATCCTTCCACCAAATGCAACTACAAAGTATATTCCCACCCTCACTGTGCTGCTCTCCCCTTCCCTTATTCACAACCGCCATTGCGGAATATGCGTAACGCTCGGAGCTTCTGGACCCAGCTATCATACTATCACCCAGCCCTATATCCCAGAATATCAAGGCAGGAAAATCCCACAGTATCTGCTTTGACTGGGTTATCTGAGTCCACACTCAGATCATGTGGGATTTTCAGCCATGATATTCTGGGATATGGGGCTTTGTGGAAGGGCCCTTGGGTCCTGTATAAAATCCCACAGTATCTGCTTTGAACTGAGGTCCCTTCCACACAGCTGGATAAAATCCCACATTATCTGCTTTGAACTGGGATATATGATGGTGTGGATTCAGATAACCTAGGGCTCTTCCACACAGCCCTATATCCCAGAATATCAAGGCAGAAAATCCCACATTATACCCACTTCCAAGCAGATATTGTGGGATTTTCTGCGTTGATATTCTGGGATATAGAGCTGAGTGGAAGGGCCTCACGCCACTGGTTATACAACCTCTGCATTATATGCATTATCTTTATGGTTAGGACAATATCTAGGTCAGCATCCCATTGAAGCAGAAAAGTCATTATTAAGAGTGAGAAAGCAATTTCTTGGCTATCCCAGCTGTCTTTTCTTCTTTTAACTGTATACAGCCATATAAGCCAGATTATTATTATTATTATTATTATTAACTTTATTTGTACCCCGCTAGCATCTCCCGGAGGACTCGATGCGGCTTACAAAGGCCAAGGCCTCAAAACATAGCATAACAATACACAACAATACACAACGTAAAGCAGATCAAAAACAGTTAAAGCAATATTCAAACAACAAGTAATAAAGTAATACACCAAGACACAATAAAATTGGGCCGGGCCAGAGTAATGGGTACAGATTAAAAGTGCTGATGTGACAGGTGATATGAAGGATTATAGGGTAAGTGCAGCATACCTAGAGGCTGGCAGATGAGTATTATCGTCCCTATTCATAAGAATGGAGAAAAAACCAATCCAAAGAACTATCGGCCTATAAGCCTGGTTGATATCACAATAAAAATCTACGCAAAATATCTTTTGATCAAAATTGAGCAATGGTCCAATGAAAACAATATTCTCTGTGAAGAACAATCAGGCTTCCGACAAGGAAATTCAACCATAGATAATTGCTTTGTCCTGCAGCACATAATTCAAAAGTATAATTCAAGGGGGATGTGTCTGTATTCAGCATTTATAGACTTGTCTTCAGCGTTTGACACAATTTGTCGTAACATACTATGGGAAAAGCTGGCTGCCACAAACACTGACAGAAGATTACTTACTTTAATTATTATGCTGTACTCTGACACCGTATTGAAAGTTAGACTTGGACCCAGTGGAGCCCTGAGCAATGAAATCAAGACATCAACTGGGGTGAGACAAGGGTGCATTTTAGCCCCTTTTCTCTTTAACTTCTATATAAATGACATCGTAAATACATTATCCTCTGACAGTCTACATGGTCCTAAAGTTTTGTCCAGAACTATTAACATCCTGCTTTACGCTGATGATATGGTGATTATGGCAACATCTCCAGTGGGACTAAGAAGATCCCTGGCAAAATTCAATTTGTACTGTGAGCTAAATCCACTCATTATGAATAAGGATAAATCCAAAATTATAGTTTTTGGAAAAAAACAGGAAACGGTACACGTGGTCCCTGAAAGGCATACATTTGGAACAAATTAATTGCTACAAATATCTAGGCATTATGTTCTCTTCACCTGGTGCTTGGGCTAACCACATTACTCATAGTATACAAAGAGCAACGAAAGCAGCAGGTTCCATTTATAAGCTGTACCATCATAGATACCCAGGCACAATCAGACCTGCCCTGGAAGTCTTTAAAACAAAAATATTGCCAACACTTATATTTGGGGCTGAAATTTGGGGGCACATCAATTTGGGCAAGATCAAAACCTTCCAAGTGAAGCAGCTTCGCACCATCCTGGGCCTTTCCAGAACAATGCTGACGGCAGCAGTAAGGGCTGAGCTAGGAATACTCCCAGTAAAAGCTCAAATCTTAATGAGACAGTTTAATTACTGGTCAAAAGTAAACTCTATGGATCCCAGTAGACTTCCTCGCCTATGTCTAGAGGATCAAGTCCAGCATGACCAGAAGTCATCGTGGATGGCGGCTCTGAATAATGAGCTGGCTGGATTCGGTCTGCCTTTGCAATTTCTGGGTGTTTTGGGTCTGGGGGCAGGGCAAGTGCTCAAGCAGCGCATTCAGGATGTCTATGCACAGCTGGCCCTAGAGAGCATAGGAAGGTCTTCAGCCACAAGGTTTTTAGCTTCCCACAAAAGGAATACTCATTTAGAGCACTACCTAACTATTCCACTTCCACTACCCTTAAGAAGAATATATACTAGGGCTAGGTTTGAACAACTCGGTATTATGGTGCAAACCGGGCACTACTGTAACATCCCAAGAAGTGAGAGATTCTGTGTCTGGGGAGAACAAACAGTGGAAGACATTGAACATTTCTTAATTGACTGTCCAGCATACACTGAACTGCGAGACAGATATTTACATCCAATATTATCCAACTGCAGGTCCCCCAACAGAAATGATATTCTGACATCCCTCTTGCAAGGGCAGGAAAGATCCAGCATAATCAGAG